TTTTTTGTGCAAGGAATCTGAAGCGTGACTTCCATTATCGCTTCTCTGTTACTGGGGAGAGTTAAACTGACACTGCAAGTATTAATGGGGTGACAAGAGCAAAAACACAGAGAAAGAGGAGATCTGTAGATTAAAAACCAGACCAACCTGGGAAATTTAAAATCAGGTCGAGCAAAGAAAGAATCTGAAAAGAGAGGAGAGAAGAAACTTTCCACACTTACCCGGTGGGTATAGCAAGGGGCTTGACATTGCTGATTAATATTAATTGAATCAGCTGAGTGCTTTGTTTACTGAGTGGGAGCAACCATGGATCAGCAATTCCACCTGCTGCAAAACAGCGTATCACAAGCATCAGTGAGACAACAATGTATTCAGATATGCACTCACTTGTGTTGATACACTCTGGGAAATCTACAGCCGAGAACTCATTAAAGCTTGCATCGCGTCCGTCGGAGGTAAGCGTGTAGAGAAACTTATCGCCAAACTTCAGTGTCGAACATCAAAGTCCTCACAGTCCATACAGTGCTAATCTGTTTTGGCACAGAGCAACCACAACCCCAGAGACTACCAGTTACAGCCCAACAAATCACTCACACACACACACACACACACACACACACTTCAAAGTTTGTTGTGCTGGAGCTTGAAGCTGTGGAGCAGACTCATCTGGCAGGTGAATCCTGGTGTCCACTAATGGCTCCATTCGTTTAATAGATGCTTCTGTGAGTTTCTGCCTATGTTCGATTTAGAAACAGCTTTACGATTGTGGAGAGGGGGCGAAATCCGGGGATAAATGGAGGAGGGAAGTAAAGAAAGAGAGGAATTTAAGTGTACAACACACAGAGAGAGAAACCTGGGGATGCTCACAAGCACAGAGTAGAGGGGAGAATGACTATGGAGAGCACAGCGGTGGGCCAGATGTTTGGCTAAAAGGAAGTATAGGTGTGCATGTCGTGAACTGACAGTGAGAGGTAAAGGCTTGAAGTGGTTAGCGATGATGACGGAGAAGCAATCATGTGTAGTGTGTGACATTTACTGAAGGTCTAGGAAAGCACTTTGTAGTGGTCTCTGTCAGGTGAGAAGGATATCAACCTGTCTGGATCGTTTGTTGTAAAAAAGATGAGCTGAGAGAGATGGTGTGCGGGGAAACCAGAGGGTGCTTGAAATCAATAAAGTGGATTTGTGGAGAGGGGACATCAAGGGGTGCAGAGCGAGGAGGAGATGACACTAAGGACAGATGGTGTTTAAACGCCCTCGATGATAGTAAAAAAAAAGAGAGAGTGTGTCAAAAAAATCAACAGAGGGTGCACTAGCGTCCAACTTCTGCCTTGGTACAACCCAAAGCCAACTGGAGAATGGTAGCACCCTGTGGATTCAGTCTGGACGAGCGACACCATCTGAGCAGCATGAGCAATCTGACGGTTCAATTAGACATGCTGGAGTAAACACACACACACACGCACACACACACACACACACACATTTATTAGAGCAATGCTTTTCACATGAAAACACACTCCACACCTCCAAACAAACCCCAACAGTTTCAATATGAAGGGGACAAAAACTGGATCTGTTGTTCAATCGAACAGACAGCTGGAAACACCAAGACAGCATACAGGAAGCAGAGGATGCAAAAAGGAAAAACTAGGACAGTGGCACTCCCCTGTCGATCTCTCATTCAGTCACACCTCCAAGTCATTCCCACAACATCAGCCTCACAGCAGGGCTCTCCGCAGCTCTGCGCTGCCGTGACAGCAATGATTGCCGACCTCTTTAACAAAGAGACAAGCATCGATGCGACAGTTTACAGACCCCCGCCCCCCAAAAAAATAGAAGACAATACACAGCAAAGGCCAGTATCTGTCTGAGAGGATGTGACCTGCACACTGAGCAACCGTCTGTATGAGGGATTTCTACTTTTATACAACCTGAGACTTATTTCTGCAGTTTTACCCACGGTGCCTCATGTTGACAGCATTATACCGACTCTAATAGTCCACAACAAAAGGACAGTCAGCCTCACATGGAGAAAAAAGCTAAATTTAGTCACCATGATTTTATAACACTGCATAAAAAATATGATGTAGTTGCTGTCATTGTACTGTATTCTTTACGTTATGAATTATGCTTGTTTATACTGCTTTTGTGTCCCATGTTACAACATTATATCCTAAGACAAAGTACCCACTATACATCAGATAGTCAGTGAACAGGCACATATTGAATGTCTCACAAAGTTTTCTAATTAAGTGTAATTCTTGCCCAACAGGTTGGCTATCAAACAACACAAGGATGAATAATGTCAGTCAGTTACTTGCGAGTAGGTTAAATGTGTGATGAGTTATAAAGTTTGGCTACATGCTAGCTTATTCTTAACCATCTTTGGGTTGAAAAAAATCCATCAATGTCCGGTTGTTGCTGCAGTAGGGAGTCCGTCACCACCTCTACTCAAAGCAGCTGCGGCAATAGCACCTGGTTACTGATGTTGAAATGTGTGTCCATATCAGCAGGACAGAAGCTAGTTAACAGACTCAACAGTCATCTCAATAAGGACTCAAGTGGTTCAGGGAATAAAGATTCTGAATCCCATTCCCGAGTCCTGGCACACAGTCAACTCGTTGGAGGTAAAAAAATGAACCGGATGAAAATAATTCACTTAACAATAGTAGGGTCGATTCTATCCTTACGAAATATGGGAAGACAATCTAAATTACCTATATAACTGCACTCATTATATAATGCAAATAAGGTTGCTTAAAAGTTGGTGGGGACAATTTGAACACCCTGAAAAGTTGGTAGTGTTATGTCCCTACCGTTCCTATGCAAACCTACGCCCTTGCTCCAGCTGTCTCTGGCAATGGTAACTCCTGTTGGATCTTATCTCTGCCTTTGACACAGTCAGCCACTCCATTCTCCCAAACTTACTTAAAGATCATGCGAGATCATTTCCCATCCAATGTTCAGTCTGATCCTCATTTCTCTGCCTCTTCCCTCATCACATGTGGAGTACCTCAGGGCTCCATATTCGGGCCTGTGTTGTTAGCCCAGTAAATTCTTTGGCAGAAGCACATTTCATGCCATTGCTACCATCCTTTTCTTTTCGCTTATACCTTGTTTTGTAAATGCTTTGTGTTTATATTATCCAACCATACAGCACTTCGGTCAACACCAGCTGTTTTAAATGGGCTTTACAAGATGGATTTGATTTTATTTGTTTATTCTTACTGCTGTATTAAACTACCTCGCTGCAGGCAGGGGTTTATTATTCAGCTTACAACTATGTAATTCTATCAGTCCTTGTATTCCGCTTCTGGCAAGGTAGCAGATCGGCATATTGCCTGAGATGGCATACTTTTCTCTGCAGCAAATTTGTTCAAAATAATATGGTGGGGTTAATAGAGTCAAACTTTAGAGCAGGTCAAGCTTAACAGAGAGCACAGTCAGTGGTAAGTGCCACTGATGGAGAAGAAAAATTCTCAGAATGATTTTAAGTTGACTTTTGCAGTTTCCATCAGCTCTGCACGCACATCCTAAAATGAAATTGCACATGCACTGCTGGTGCAGAACTATTTGGTATGAATCCAATATGGAATCAGTAGATTTGATGCAATGAATTAAATTATCTGCCTGCAGGTAACCATGCACAGCACATTCCTTCAAACATCCCTCTGGGGGAGGGTTACCCTCTGATCAAGGTCTCTCACCTGGGAAGCTTCAAAGCACATCAGGCTGACTGAATTGAAAATAGATATGGATAAATGAATTATGAATTATGAATGGGCATCAATCCAAAATGGGAAAATGCAATAGCTTTTCAAATTAAAAAGGATTTTGCAACCATTAGAGGAAGAGATGGTCCTTGAAAACTTAGCACAGGCAGTGAACTCTGGAGAGTGGCAGACATGTGAAGAGGCTGCTGGGAAAACTGGAACTTTTGCTATGTAGTTCTCTGATGTTCACCAGGGCTTTATTATTATTATTATTATTATTGTTATTTACCTAAACTCTAACAGAAATCATCTAAGGCCCTGTATTACGATGGCTAATGAGGGCAAATGATCCACATCAGGGAAAACATGCTGCAAGTTTGGTGGAGACACACTGCATAGAAATAAACTGTTGAAGAGTAAACAGCAAAAATGCTGCAAATACACAAATGATACAAAGCAAAAATACACAAAAGCAGCTGCAAACAGAAATAAAAGCAGCAAATAAATTAGACATTTAAAAAAAAAAAAGGCTGCAAGCCCTTAGGGGCACTAAGTGACATAGCTTTGACCGGACAGAGACGAGGACTGCACATTGAACTTTACCTTAATCTAACTATTAATTACTGCTGCCCAGTGAATCTGAATTCTGATTCTGGTGATGATGAAGACAACATGAGGATGCCAAAAGTAATATTTCCTCACCCTAGGAGACCTCAGCGGGAGTCCGTGTGAGTTCGCCAGGCTGCCTTGTGTTAATGCCAGACGCTACCGGCCAGCTCACGTGCCTGTGTTTTCTGAGCCTCGTACTGTGCAGAGTCAGATCATTTAACTGCGAGCTGAGCAGCTAATTGGGGTCTGTGGCTGGAAGAAGCTTCACTCACAGAATCAGTGCAACTTTAGCAAAACTGCAATCTGAGTGATGGATTTTTTTTTTTCTTCTCTTAATCTACAGTGTTTTTTTCTAACTGAGCTAGATTTACTATTCCAACCAACTCACCTTAAGACACTTTGGGAACCTGAACATTACTCTTTTTTTCTTATATATGTTTTTAAGTCTCTGAATGGGCTGGCCCAGAATACTTGTCTGACCTTATTAAATTGCGTCAACCCTCCAGAGCCCTGAGGTCAGCTAATCAGGTGGTTTTGGATGTTCCTCGATCCTTTTTAAAATCTTGAGGAGATCGAGAATTTTCTGTTGTAGCTCCCTCTTAGTGAAATGCTTTCCCCCTGACAGTGCACACTGCAAATTGCCTTTCCACTATACTTATACAGATGCACCTTTTCACTTTAGTCTTTGGGGTAATATAGTTACTTTTATTGGGTCTTTTATTTGTTGTGTTTATCTATATTGTTGTTTGATGTTTTTATATGTATTCTTTCATTATTTTTATAGCTCTTATTGTTTTTTCTTGTTTCTGGCCAATTTACTGTAAAGCACTTTGGTAGGCCACTGGCTGTTTTCAATATGTTATGTAAATAAAGCTGACATTGGCATTGACTCCCTGTTGTTAACCCACACCACTTGTTAACTGATAACTTCAGTCTTCCAGTAATTGTAGAAGTTAACACCAGTCCTCTGGCACCAGGTAGTATATAGCAGTACTAGCTGCATGTCAAACTGAGATCCGTTTCACTAAGCGGCAGTTTATTCACCAAGGCTCTCTGTCCACCATAAATGATTTGTCAATAAGATTGAGCTGATCTTACTTACATATTCATACAGTCATAATTTTGTCACAGTAAACATGGAGTCACGGTCAGCCGACACGCTATACTCCAATGGCGTTTATTGGGGACAGTCAAAGTTAATAGTCCATAAAGACAGTGTCTGGTCTTCTTTGTCTGGTCAATAATAAAGCCGTCACACAGCATCTCTGCACTTCTGTTGGAGATTCTTCCTTATTTGCATCTGCATTCTGTTTCTATGCAAGTTTGCGTTATATCATCCATGTGTTTGCTGTTCATGCAATTTTTTTTCAGCTTTGCACCAAATTTTGTACTTTTGCAATCCTTTGTGACTTTTGCATGTGTCCTAAAATTTGTTTTGTTATTGGATTTGCAGTACAGACCATCAGGCTGTTGCTTATGATCCGCCCAGCTTGTGCTTGCAGAAATGGTCTATACAGGCGGTGCTGTAAGGCTAAACGGTAACGTTTGCAGCACACAGATAAACAGTGGAGGTAAATCTGAGGTGAGAATATATTCAAAGATTTTGAAGAAGTGTTATAAATAAAACCTGTGTTAGATGTTGCTGGTGTAGATGTGTCACCATATAAGCCTGTGGGAGCTAAAGTGAGAGGGAAGGGAATATAACACACACACACACACACACACAATCATACACAGACCAGTGATCCTGCCTCATGTCAAAGCTATTCCCGTGAAGGGACAGCTGAAGTTGATCTCATTAACTTTCCCTTCATTCAAACAGCTAATTACACACATACACACAATCACAGCCTTTGCAGCACAATCAAGAAGTGACAAAGGAGGAAAGAGAGGCAGGGGGGTAAGGGTTGGAGAGAAAGTCTGAAACAAACAGAAAGAAAAAGAGAAAGAGGAGGACAATGTGAGAACGTAAGGGTACAGACAAAGAGAGAGGATGCTTTGTTATTCCTGAACCTTCAACGTATATCTAACTCAAGTTTCAGCTGACTTTCCCCTCTCGTGTACTGCAGTGGACTAGCTCAGAGTCAGAATCTATCTCAAAAGCTATTTGTTTCCACTATTCCTAATAAAGGAATTAATGTTATGTTAATGACTTTTCAGCCTATTACTGCACTACTGATGGATCCATCTGTACTTGAAAATGTCTTTTCCTCCAGAACCCTGCCGCATGGTTATTTGTGTCTGAGTCTTTGTCAGGTAATTTATGGTGGGACATTAGGCCGTTAATACATTGTGTTACAAAAAAGACGACAGTTTAATGGCATTGCGTAGATGAACAAACTAGCCATTAATAATGCCTTATAATGTACCCTGTTGAAGGCCTTTTGGGAACGGGAGACTGTGCTGCTGGAAACTTAAAAGTGAATAACAAGATGTGGATGTTTGTGTGGGTGCATAGAAAGGTACATGCATGTTTTTAGATGAGTAAAGCAGCAATGTGAAGAGGAAAAAAGGAAGAACTAGAGGAAAGTACATTTTTGGGGCACAGAGGTGGAAGATCAGGCACACTTGGTGACATAACTGTTTACTTCAGTAGAGAGCAGGGTTCATTTTAAGCTGTTCTTGTCAAGTTTACCTCATTTCTCATCAAATTTATTCCCTAAATTAAAAATAAATAAACAATCAATTAAGGCAGTTTGACTTTTTTTGTTTTTTTTTAAATGAGCTTGCAATAGACATTCACTGTAATGGCTTAGCAATATAACTAGACTAGATTTTGGATGGTAAAGCTAAACAATGATGATGCTCTAGGGTTAAGGTCAACCTAATTGGGATTCTCTAATTCCGAAATGCTCACTACTGACAACTACCTCAGCCCAATTTGTAACAGTGACATGAAATGTAAAGAAAAAAAGGTAAAAAGCCCAAAATGTAATGATTGGTCAATAATTTAACAAGAGTATTGAGTCCAAAATGTTTTAAAAATGTAATATCTACCCAAAATGTAACAAGTTGCTACATTTTAGGCAAAAAGTTATTACTATACTATAAAAGTTACTTATTTTTTTGGCGATAAGGCACACTTAAAATCCTTTTCTCAAATTTTCTCAAAAATTGACAGTGCATCTTATAATCCAGCGCGCCTTATGTATTATTACTTGTTGTGCTTACTGGCCGATTTTATGTGGTACAATGCACTGAAAAATCTGTCGAAATGTATACGTACAACTTTGGTAAGCAACGAAGCCGCTCCACTCAATGGATATTCGGAGCATAACGGTACACTCTTTCACTACCGTATTGGCCCTGTGACAGGATTCCTGAGCAGTCTGCAAGACTGTCCGACTGTAATGTAAAAACTAGAAGTCCATTCATGTCAGGCAGCCAGGGCATGGAGTACGCACTAGCAACAATAAACCAATCAATGCTTAGTGCGCCTTATCGCCTGAAAAATACGGAAGTTTTGGGCTCAGCATCTTTCATTGTTACACTTAGAGTCATTGTTACATATCAGGCTCTACCAAGCCCTGTTGCCTTAAAAACTTTATTTAAACCACAGATCGAGTTCAGAAACCAGCTGGTGATGTGACAGGCTAGCTAGCAGGAGGCTCCAGAGCTAAAGCTGAGGCATTTGCCAAAGCTCCTGCCCAGCATGGTGAGACTTTTGGGCCACAGAGAGCGCCACCACCCAGTCAAAATTATGGTTCTCTAACTTTTCGGAGTATCAAGGGGGGGATGCTTTGGAGGTGTGTGGCCACCTATTGTGCACCCTTCCCCAACCACAGAGTGCACCACAACCTGGTCAAAATAGTGGGTGACTGGTCTGATTTCTCAAAGTATCAAGGGGAATTTATTTCATTTATTTTATAAATTAAATTACTTAACTAGAAGCCTACACATTATGGACAATGGATTTCAGCGTTTTTATACAGCGTTTCAATTTTAACAATTAAATATTCAAATTCATTTTATAGCCTTTTATAAGCCTTTTATAACTTCACTGCAATTTTACAATTAAGCTGTAGTAGGAATCTTTAATCGTGAAATTGTGCACCATTCTCTTAACTTCCTGGCGCTCTGCTTCAGTTGGGGGAAGCACTCCGTTCAGGAGAAAAGCATATGGCTGGTGATAAACTGAAGCATCCATTCTGACTGAATCAAGCTCACTGATGCAGAAGCTGTCGAACAAGTGTCGAAGCTGTCGCAAACCACGAGGGACAAAGAATTACTGAGCTGTGGCAAAGATGGCTAGTAGAGGAAGTGACGTACGTTTTGCACATGGGCAGTACAAATCGGGTTTCCAGGACGGATCGGGTAGCGACAAGCCCTGCTGTTTCCTTCTAACACAGAGCTTAAGTTATTTCTATATTTCAATGATTAAAAAAAGAAAAATATTACGACGGAAAAAAAAAAAGAACTATAGTCCTGTGATCATCCCAAAAATGCAGCAAGACGAGAGAGAGAGAGAGTAGCCATGGTCGAGAGGCTGAGGGAGGAGGTGAAAGGAGTGAAATAAAGCAGAAGACATTATTCCTTGACTGTTTAAACACTTGAAAGACCGCATACACACATCCATACGTCTTAACATAATCACAAGAAGGGGCTGACTTTGGCTATCATACATCTGGAGACACACTCTGCTCTGCCCTCCAACATATTTAAGGGTTTTAAAGAGTCCCTAACAGCAGACTGTTGTCATTCAGCAATATTTTGTTAAGTCTCTTATAAAGTTTTTACAGACACTTATTAATACTTAAGTTGACAGAGTGCTTCACACCACCACAGGCCACAAAAATATGCCAAAAAAAATGACACAAGAATGCTACATGAAGCAGGAAGAAGAACAAATACAGGCAGAGAGGACAGTCCACAGCAGCAACGACACATAGTTAGATAATCAAAAAGGTTGTGTCCTGTTTTAACTGTATACATTATTTTAGGAAATCCTATTTATTTCATCCTCCCGGGTAAACTCCCAGCACCAAACCTGGGTTAGATGGAAACTGAGACAAATCGATTGCAGGGTGTCTATCAACCATGCACAGATGTGAAATAAGGAAAATAAGATTGTCACACGATTTGAGGTGCCCAGGAACTGACCCTTTGTTTCTCATGGAGTCAAAAAAATATCAATCATGGCTTTCACAAAATCAGATTTTCACCTTGCCATTAAAGTGACCATTAAATACATAAATGTACTATTTCTGGTGGAGCCAAATAAATGAAAACCATTAAAACCTCTAACTCAAGGTAGTTTCATCTGTCTGAATCTTAATATGGCAACTTGTAACTCCACTATAACTGGCTGAGGGACACAGTGATTTCATGTTCATATTATTCATCATACCTGCGCAGGATGAGACTGGTTACACTTAAAACCAGAACCTCTCCTGATCTGGATCCTCTATAGTCAGCAGCACTCAGCAAAGCACTAGACCTAAAAGCGTTCAAGGAATGAAGGCCCTCTTTCAGCTGAGGGTTGGCAAATTGCAATCAAGGATGATGCAGAGAAAAACAGAAAGGTATGTGAGGGACTAAATGTAACAGGGAAAAACAAGACAAGATGACACATTACATAAAAGGTTTATAAAAGAGGTGATTCCTGTCAGAAAACAACTTTCTGCTGTCGTCATTGGTCCAGTCTCTGCTGCTTAGTCTTTTCATATTTTCTTCTTTCTGTCTGCTCTGACTGGCACTCTGAGTCTGAAGAGTGCTGCTGTTATGAAACACTCCTCTTTACTGCTCAGTTTATGTCCAAGAATCTGAGGACAGCTCTCCGTCTCTGCCTCAGACTCTCTCCATCTTCAGTTATCTGTGTATTATAGCCAGACTAGAGGACCTGTGACAGTCTACTCCTTTGGCTCTCCGAGAAAGGTCAGCACAGCAGTGATTTTGCTCCAGCACCTTTCAGTCCTGTTCTGTTCAGGAACAGTCTGAGCCACATAAGACTTGGTACACTACTTTGTAATATGCAATGTGTGCTTTTAGTGGCAAAAAAATGGACTGAGGACCAACAGGTTAAGCATTGAGTACCTACAATTTAAAAACAAGAGTTTTCTCATAAATGGCCCTGACAAAAGGAGGGGCTAGCATTCACAGCCTGGATTCATTATTTGATCAAAATGATTAAAAGTCTCACTCAATGGACTTAAAGAGGCACATTCACATGGGTGAGTAGAAAAAAAACAAAAAAAACACTTAAAGCATGAAAAGGCACATCAGGTCATGGTGACAGGTTTGCCAGCTCTAGAGTGAAAGCTGCGTGAAGTGTGAAGGACAAATAAAAATGGCTGCTGAGTTGTGTTTGGTGTAGCCAATGGATGACTTTCTGCAGCTGCCATCCTCACTCTGATGTCTTACTGTGCTCTGACAATACACAGCCTGACACGTCTACATTCACACACACATTTGCAAAAATCAAAGGCTCAGTTGGATGAAGCTTATCAAAGCTTATTTTTTTTTATTGAAATCACTGATCGTGTTATTTGACATTTTAATGGGCTGGGTTAGAATATAATCCTGATACAGGAGTGTCATACAACAGAGCAGAGCTCCATGCGGCTCCTCGATAGCGGCCTGAGCTGTGTCTGTACCAGCCCTGCACTGCAGTCATTCAGACAACTGGGAATAAATGAGCTAAGTAGCAGAAGATTAGGACGGATTATAGCTGGTGTAGTAAACCATCCGAATGCTGTCACATCACTATGGAAATGAAAGCTTATGATATGCACACCAGCGAAGTGTGTGTGGTGCGAGTTCACACATACAGTCCTTGAGAGGGGTTTATTACTGACATGTGAGCAGTTTGTACGACACATTACGCTAATGGTACAAACAAGGGATGATTGAGAAACAAAGCACTTTGTCATCACTTATACAGGCTGGTTCTATCCCCCATTTTCCACTGCATCTGGCTATGAAAAGGCCATATTTGCCGATCGCAGCTGATCGTAACCATTCAAGTTAATGCGTCAATTTCCATCGGCTTCTTCCCGTTTCGCTGCGGATCACTGAACTCCGCAGTTGATCGCAAGAGTTCTATTTTTTCCCCAGACACAAGAGCATGCTGGATAAATTCAGCACAAATGAACCCGTGCTGGAAAGGAAGTTAGGCACAGACACAAAATAAATCATCCAGCTTCTTTTTAAAATAAAACACTGTGTTTCAGGCGGATCGTATTCCACACTATGCAAATGGGCGGGGACGAACAAGTGAAAGGTTAAAAGACAGCATTTTACCCCGATGACACTATAGAGATACTGATTCTAAAAGTCTAGAAGTGGATTTGCTCCTCTGGAAGGACACAATCTACTGCTTATATGTTTATGTGGCTATAGAGACAACTCGCTATTGCCCGATTGCATGTGAATCCGCGGGTTCTTGTGAGTTCTCGCGATTTCCGCTGTCTGTAAACCGCCATGAAAGTTGCCTCACATTAGAGCTGTTCTGGATGCGGTGGAAATTCGGGGTAACTTCACTAATGAATACGAACATTAACTGTATACAGACATGGATGATGCTTCTCCACCTACTCCAAATGTACAAAAAGTATGCCAAAAAAAAGTCTTGTGAATTTGGGAATAGAGTCCAGGTGACTGAGGTTATTCTTGATACGGAAGACAAACAAAGAATGAAATGAAAGTTGGATATGACAAACACCAATTAGTGTATAAGATGTTAAATATAACAATCTATACAGAAGATTACATTAACCAGTTACCTTAACAACACACCTGCACCGCCACTGTAGCCTCTTCTCTCCATCATTTGTTGCTGAGCAAAGTTAAGACGATGCCGTCAATAAAAAGCAGGGTCATGTTCAGACTCTTTTGTCTGAGAAGACCTGACCTCAGCATTGACTTATGCAGGCCAGGGGTGACCTAAAGTATAAGAGCCCACACAACAATACACAGCATTTATCCTTTGATTTATGATGCACTGTTTGTTAAGTTCATTTAACATGTCTTTCAACAACAGGTCCTGCTTGGATACCTCCAAACGATATACAGATGTAACTGAGTCTTGCCTCTGACTAGAATCCCATATTACCATAAATGTAAACTTACAGGAGAACTTATAAAAACTTAACTAAAACCACATATTTTCAAAAAGTAAAACATCAAAATAAAACTGAAGTTGAAACCAAAAAGTCAAACTAAATTTTGTAAATTTGTTTCATATAATAAGCTGCTGGGGCAGTACTGACACTCACCCACTCTTTTCATCGTTTGTATCTTTCAACCCACTCACCAAACACAATATGCACATTGGGATGCGAGATAGCCTCTGTCTGCCGCTATGTAAATATGAAGACTCGCTCTAAGTTGAAAAAAAACAAAACAATGTGCAATATGCAGACACTTATATTCTCATTTAAATATAATTATGAGTATAACATTACATTTCTACAGTCTATTCTGTTAAATGCGGCTACATA